GAGATGGAAACAAAATTACGAAAGTACGGTTTTGGATATCGTGCGAAGTATTTGCATCAGACTGCGAAGAAACTTGCCGTAAGTTCATCTTTGTGATGTTATAGATTATATTCTAATTGTATTCAGTTTTGCAAAAGTAGAAATAATTTACTCATTCCGAATAACTATTGCAAAGTTTCCTTTCCTTTATTATGAATCGACCCTTCAAAATATGGATCAGGCATCATAATCGTTGTGTTATAGTAATGTCGTTCACGGTTAAGATAATGATGTGCTCATATTTGCCTAAAACTGAAAACTTCTAATGGAGTAAATAATTTTAGGAATTAGGTGGTGAAGCATGGCTGAATGGACTTGTCGAACAACCGTATGATAGTGCTAAACAGCAACTTCAAACGTTACCTGGAATAGGACCAAAGGTGTTTAACAAAATTGCTATTATATGAGAACATGAATTGATAAGTAGATACAAGCCGAATCATAGCCCGGCTCAGGATATGATTTGCTCTGATTTCGTAGCGTTTGACGCTCATCGAACTGAGTGGAAGTTCAACAGAACCGTTAGGTAAAGGCTGAACAGTCTGCGTGATAGTCATTGTTATAAGTGTTTAGTGTTAATATCATCACTAAATAACCGAATTATTGTGGCTAATTCAGGTGGCCGATTGTATATGTTTGATGTCGTTGAATAAACCGGATGTGATACCGGTCGATACTCATGTCTTTCAAATTACCTCAAANCAATAATGCGATTTATAAGCAAATTGGTGAGTTTACAATTGAATTTCAATCTTTTATTGTTGTTGTTTTTGTACAGATGAGTTGACTTTGTTGCTATCGTCAGGATAAATTCTCGATCTCATTGCATAATTCAGTTTAGGTTGATAATTTCCAAGTTGCGAAACGCTAATGAATTATCTTTTTAGACGATAGAAAGTGAGATGTTAACATTTCGTAACAAATATATTTATTTGAATTATCAGATTTATACAGTGACAGCTTTTTTTCACATTGTTATTATTGTTTTACAACAACACATTGTGATAATTTAATATTTTAATAATAATAATTTAATATTTTGTTAGTTTCATGGTTATCGTTATTATGGTTTCAAGTATTGTCATGATTACAATTGATATCAATGAATTAAGGCGACATATGGCGTGAAAACTTTGGTGAATATGCTGGATGGGCACATACCGTGTTATTCAGTACACAGTTAAAATTATTCAACATCAAAGCAGTAGCTGAGAAGGAGAATAAGGAGAGAATTCTGAAGGATCAATCGAATAAAACAATCAAAAAAACAAAGAAATAAACTGATTCGATGTATTGTTTTGGTGTATTTATTGTTGATGATGATGGTATTATTGTAGTTGTGAATATTATTGTTGTAATATTACGGTTATCGTTTCGTTATGATCATAACTTATTGTTGATATATTCTGGTTTGTTGGTTAAGATGAATTTTTACTAACATACCGATATCAGTATATAATATCAAGAACCAATGATCAACTAGATGTGAATTCACCAAATATCAATATATCAATTTACCCATACCAAATATCAGCGATAATAAGAGATTACTCAGAAGAAAAGGTGAACTTCACGATAAAAGTGAAATGATTATCAAGTAGATAAAGCTACTCTGAAGTTACCGTCTTTCAAAGAGTCATTAGGTAAACTGATATACCACTGGAAAATTAGTCTTTATGATATCATTTCGCATTGGGAATATACATCTTTCAAGAAAAGTTTCTCTTTCTTCTGAAATTCTTCAAAAATGTTGAGATTTTCGAGCGTTTGAGAAGTTTCCAGTGAGGGAGGGTTTCAATAGAATATTTTGATCAGTTGTGTAGATCGGTCAATAAAATAATACTACTGTTACTGTTCTCAGCACTGTTGATATGGTTATTATTGTTGCAACTTTGACTGTTCATTAGTTGTTGTTGATGTAGTTTTCGTTTAATGAACATACTGTGCGCACTAAGTGTTATCACAAAAAACGTTAGACCGACGACAATCTCGAAGATTGATAACACAAAAATTCTCTTCTGTAGTTTCAACGTAATCTCGTGTCTCACTAACTTCGAGTTACTGGATAACCACTGAAATCAGAACATTTTACAAATGAGTAAACAACTGAATCTGACGTTGTAATAAGGGAGAAGGCAGAAATTTGGAATGTTTCAAAGAAATCATCATTGTAGACTACTTAATCTTGCCTGAAGAGATTTCGGTTTTAATGAGAAACTTCGAGCGATTTCTCAGTTTAAGTTTAAGCTAGTGGATTTGCAGGATCTTCAATTTGATCTCAGTACCAGTGATGGTGATCATATTATGATCTATGATGAAAAATGAACTTGCAAGATCACTGAGGTAAGTTATTTCCACAATGAATAGGTAGGTAATGAATCGAAGGTGGTAGGTAATGAACTACAGGTGTATTCAATTGGTAACGGTGAATGTTATAAGCACAATTGAAAATGAAAAGCTAGAGCAAATTCAGCAAAAAAATATAATTGGAGTAAACGGTGGACTCACTTGCCATATCAACAGGCCGACTGAAAGGCATGTCAGCAAAATCCTCCAGGATAAGTACGGTATCAGCGTGATCGCATGATAGTTGTGTGTTGCATAACATAAGAATGGTATCGTCAAAACATGCCCGAATATTGCAAGCACCATAAATGTCAGTAATAACACACCTTTTGCATCTCTAAAATTCTCATTCTTATCAATATGCTCATTGCTTCATTATTATTATTATCATCTCAGCTCAATGTTTTCAAATTTGTCTTCAAATCCCACGAGTTCATCGGAAATGCTGATTGATTTTATCGAGTCATAATTTTGGATAATGTTTTCATCAACTAATACTTTTCCAGTAGCTTATATTATCATAAACTTTTACGTGCAATCCAAAATTTTTGGTCACAATATGAGAATTGCTAAATTTTGGAGACAGTTTGAATAATAGAAGTTGAAGTGGACGGAACGGATTCAATATTTCTTTAGAATGATCTTCATCAATACAGTAAAATCGCAAGGTATCAATGCGCTGTGAGGAGTTTATGGAAGGTATTATGTTCAGGTGATTCCATTCGACTTCTCAGATTTAATCATTAAGATTGTTTTTTATTCAGGCTTCTGATATCGAACATACGCTGGACCATTAGCATATTATGTGGTTGTCGAATGAAAATGTTTGATTTTGCAGTGACTCAATCATTTGCCTAAGACTGCTGGAGGATCTATTTTATCTACAGCTCAACAAAAATGGAACAAACAATAATTCTGGTCTTTGTAAGAGAATGAGAATTTTACATGGAGCATTGATGAGATTGAGACGAACAGAATGAGAAAATACAGCACGAGAACACTTTTATTATAGAATAGTGATGAGAGCGATTAGAGAACGTTTGAAAAGAATGAAAATTCAATTCAGAGTATATGAATCCAGCGATTCATTGGGAAATGATGGCGAAATCCTAAATTCTATGGCAACTCTGGGATTTTCCGATCAAAATGTTAATCCAGTCTGTTCAGATGAATGAGAATAATTGACGCTCAGAATGAAGTATGTTCCTCTTGCTTGAGTGCTACCTGCATTTGATTTCAGCACATTAAAATATGGTAAATGAATACATGAAGACGGATCAAACAAGACGATTTTCATACAATTCGTGCTCTCCGCCTCAGCTTTATTGTGATGATTTCCATATCTTCATATCCATGATATCAGCATATTCAGCGTTTTATGAGTCACCGATTCATTGCTGATTGTTACCTTTTGAGGATAGATTTTCACCGTAGCTACCAGAAAAGTAATCGGATTCTTTGATATTGGCTTCAACTCAAGCGCTATTAAACAATTTGCTCACAGATAAGTGCAACCTTCATCTTTTGAGTTTATTTCCCTCAGATAGTCAATATGTGCTCAGTTTCGGTTACTAAAGGCAAAATATTTCATGTTATTCTGCTCTAGTATGATCTCACCTAGCACCTTTATATTCTTGAAACGAAACGTTTAGTTCACGATCTATTAGTCACATTTTCTCCAGATGAGTCGAATGAACACAGGAATACAGAGCTGAATAACTGTCATCATTTCTGCGCATTTGTTCTCTAGTACAGAAGGGTTTTGGATTTACGGGCATTGATATTCTTTATATAACCTTTCTGAATTACTAGTGAGCTCAAGTTTAATCGATAAGATATTGCTATTCTGTGCTTTTCGAACAGAGTATGATATCAGCAGCCTGAAAAGTATTTACATTCCCTGGAGAAACACTCCAGTTCAAGAGTTAATCATTCATTTTTTTCAAGTATATTCTGTTTTCATGTTTTGACGGTATTACATTCAGCCTATCGGTGCGTTAAACTATAACGAACAAAAGCAGTGCGCTAAACGATCGTTGCATAGAGCATAACCTCAACTGATAGCATAATCACTTCGTGTTTTTTCTCTAAAGTCATTCGTTCGAGCGATATTCATTTGCAAATGGTAACAGACTCATCAATGCAATCAATATTTGAGTGAGAATCATCCTTAGGCCACATTGAAAAGGTCAAGTTCGATCAACACCTCTAGGATAGTTTATGTCTTTCTGATCGAATATCACTTGAAATCTTAATAAATCATATGTTCCTCAATTGAAATCATCTAATCATGCACTTAAGTATCCATTCGAACCGATGAAAATACATTTCATCTATAGCTAATCACTAACAATGGTTGAGCAAACAATTGCAGAGTGCTTAAAAGAGAATGAGAATTTGACATTGACTGTTAACGGCAATGAGAGGAAAAGAATGAGAATGAAAGAGCACCAGAACGGTTTCAGCATAAAACAGAGGTGAGAGCGACTAGTGCACATCAAAAAAAGAATGAAAATTCTATGCAGAATACTCAAATTCAATAAGTGATATAGAAATGATGGCGAATCAGTGATAGTGACCGAAATGTTCGGCACATTTTCGTCTTCTTAATTATGAATTTAGAGTTCACCTATTTTTGCAAAGAGCCTCCAATTCATATTAAGAATTCAATTAGGCATGATTATGACCCAGCGACCATTTTACAGTGTTCGATTGTGGAATGATATGATGAAATTATCAATGATAGTGAGTGGAGTTTAAGTACTTTCTAAGGTTAATCCAGTGGCTATCAATAGCACCACTGATAACAACAATAGCTATTGTTATCAAGGATCATTTATCAAACCACGGTATAAGCATCTGAATAAGCTTGGCAATTGATAGAATACAAAATAAAATACCTGTTTGCAGCATCTAGTTTCATCAACTCGTAAAACACACCAAATGTTTCATCAAAGACCAATCCAACTGTGCACGATTCGACGACAATGATAATGTAGAGTGCTGTCAAAATTCTATTTGACATTGAGAATAACAACTTCAATCTTATCAGCAACAGTAATAATAATAATAACAATAACAATAACAACGAAAGACAGCGTTGATATTTCGTTAATTTGTCAGCAGAACAATTGGCTGAAAGTAAGTGAAAATACGAAGAAAGCATAGTGATAGCGTCCAATATCATTGAGTCACAATAATGAATCAAGTATAATTAACTGAGCGATTATCAGAACAAACCATACAACTAATCACCATAATGATCAGTAATGATCTTTAGGACAAAATGCTCATTGGTATTATGCAGATGATCATCAAATAATGAACAAGTTTAGAGATATTATGATTGAAAAAAATGATTT